GAGTTAAACTCCTGGACCCAAGTAAAAAGCCAAATGTGTCTGTTATCCCAGCACTCCTATGGCAAGATGGGAGCCAGAGGCAAGAGCACTGACTGGGAACTTGCTTTTGCTGTTCAATGGCAGAAACAAAAGGGATCTTACCTCCATTTTTTATTTTGTAAGGTATTTTTATAGATTATATTTTATGTGCATAAGGGTGTGTGTGTGTGTGTGTGTGTGTGTGTGTGTGTGTGTGTGTGTGTGTGCTCGCGCACGCGCACACACGGGATCTCTCTCTTTCATGTCTCTCTGTGTCTCTCTCCCCTCTGTGTCTCTCTCCGAATCTCTTTCTCTGTCCGAATCTCTTTCTCTGTCTCTGTGAAGGTCAGATGATAAGTTCCAAGAGGCAGTTTTCACCTTCCACCCCGTGGGTCCCAGGCTTTGTGGCAAGCCCCTTCATTGGCTGAGTCATCTCATCAGCCCTAACTGAAATCGTTTTTAAAAGCATTGAGGACCTCACAAAGGATGTCGAGTGCTCAGTCACCCTTACTGCTAATATGAGACTGTCATAAGCATGAGAGGACTTCAAGCCAGAGACTCTCACCTTGAGACCTCAGCAGTTTCAGGGAATTCAGACACTTTCTGTGACTTCCTTCAAAGAGCAAGAACAGTTGGAGGTTCCATCCCTGCTCCCAGTCTGCCATCCTCCTGGAACAGCAAGCACTGCCTGGCTGCCTCCTGTAAAAGGAGCAGCAATGGTGCTGGGCTTAGAGAACCAAATAGAGAACACCAAGTCCATCCTTCTGCTCTCAGGGTTTTTCCATACTTGCTAATGAATAATGGAACCTGAGTATTCGGGGAGGGGTGCCAGTGATGTCACTACCCTGTGTTCTTCAGACCATGGAGGGAGCTGAGCAGGTGACCAGCAGCCAAGAACTGCTTGACATCACCTCTAAATCCCCACAGCACTTCTGCCAAGTGGTTCCTCTCTGCCTTGTTCTTTGAGACCGGTGCTTACTACATGGCCCAGGCTGGGCTTGAACTCACAATTCTACCCCAGCCTCTCAAAACTGAGGCCTCAACCTCCTTTGTGAGATCCCGAGACTGGGGTCTTTCCAGGTGTTATTCAGCCTTATAAAAGAAGGGAATTGTGACAGTTGCTATACCATGGAGGAAATGTGAGGACACTGTGACCCATCAAATTAACTAGGATAATCATAAAAGTGAGATACTCCGTTTGACTTGATTTCTGAGAATTATGTAATGTAGAGGGTTATACTCTGAGACCGGGGCAGGTCACCACTCAGGTGAAAAAGTTCTTGCCTTGCCAACACGAGTATCTGAGTTTGTTCCCAGAAAAAGTCAAGCACAGTACTGTATACTTGTAATCCTAGTACAGGGGAAGTGCAGACCAGCAGATGCCTGGGGCTCTTTGTACAGCCAGCCTAGCCTACTTAGTGAAATCCAATCAGTGAGAGGCCCTGTCTCAAACGAAGTAGACAGCATGTGAGGACCACTACCTGAGGTGCACATGTGGTGCACACACAGAAACTCCTCAGGGAGTGCAGTGGTGGGGACTGGGGTTAGTGGTAGTAGATGGTTTCGGTTTCACTAGACAGTTCCAGAGATGGACTCTACCACCACAGTGGTGACAGCTGAGCACTGAGTGAACTTATGTCATTGAAATACACTCTTAAAGGGCCAAGAGGGCTCCACACACACACACACACACACACACACACACACACACACACACACACACTCATACATACATACATACGTCAAGATGGCAAATGTTACATTTTAACAATAATTTTAGAAATCAAATACATTTTAACCAGCTTCAAGGAGAATGTGGAGCCACCACATCCATGTCGTCTCTCCTAAGGCCACACTACTGCTGGAACCTAGCAGCCAGTGACAGTCCTTACTCTAGGTCCAAGGGCTGCAGAGCCAAGACAATATGTGATAACACTCACCCTCATCGGGTCTGGTCCAGTCTTGAAGCCAGGATCAGTTTCTTTGCTGCTTTGAACCCTTCTAGAAGACAATGTTGTTGCTTAGCTGAGAAAATGGGGTCCGGACAAGCACTTGTTCACACAGCTAGCTGTTCTGGAGAATGGCTGGGGACTCATACCCTGTGTGTCCCCAGTTTTCTGTCTCACCACACAGCAGGGCTCTCGGGAGACACTGGATGGAGGAGGGTTTCCTGGACAGTTGGACCTCTCAATTTCTAGACAGGGTCTCTCTATGTAGCCCTGGCTGTCCTGGAACTTATAGACCAGGCTGGCCTTGAATTCACAGAGCTCTACCTGGCTCTGCCTCCCAAATTCTGGGATTAAAGGCATGCACTACCAACACCTGGTTTATTTATTTATTTATTTATTTATTTATTTATTTATTTATATAGGGTCTGCCTATGTAGCTCTAGCTAGCATAGAACTCGCCATGTAGACCAGGCTGTAGACTCACAGGGTTGCTCACAGAGATCCATCCTCCTCCTGAGTGCTGAGATTAAAGGTGTGTACCATCAAGCCTTGTTGACTACTTGTAGCTCTCCTGGACTCACTATGTGGCTCAGGATGGGCTTGAACTCACAAAGAGAAAACCTCCTAGAGTGCTGGGATTAAAGGCATGCCTAGCCTTTTTCTTTTCTTTTTTTTTTTTAAATATATTATTATTATTGCATGTGTATGGTGGGGAGATTGACACCACGGCCTTCAAGTGCAGGCTGGAGAACAGCTCACTGGGGTCAGTTCTCTCTTACATTTGTGTGGGTTCGGAGATCAAACTCAGGTTGTCAGGACTGCAAAGCAAGTGCCATTACTGGCGAGTTACTTGGCCTTCTCAGGTTTGACCCTTTAATGTCACAAAGAGGTGTGCTCTCAGTGTCTTTGTAAACATAGCAGGATGATGGCAATCTGACAAGAAACTGCAGGTCACCTGAGGGGTCTTATAATACCTCACAGAGTTTTAACTGAATTGTCTCATATTCCAGGGCAAACTCGAAGTCTTTTTTTTTTTTTTAATTTTCTTTTTTAGCAAATCCTAGCACATTATTAACAACAACAAAAAAATCTGTACATTTGCCATGATACACTTGGAAGGTGAAACAAATAAGATATAAATACAGATATGGATGTAACATGAAAAAGCCCCCCAAAAACCCCAAACAAACAACACCCAATCTGGGGGCACAGGGACCATGCGTGTGAACTATTTTGGTGGCGGATTGTTTTCAGAGCAATTATTTCTTCCAAACATTGTTAGCAGAGTCCTGGCTGGGGGTCTACGAAGTTCTAATCTGCTGTCTTTTAAAGTGGGAGTTTCCATAGAGGGTGGCAGAGAAAGAAACAGAAGATGTCTGAGACAAACCTGTTGCTTTACCTGCACAGGTGTTGAAAAGCTAATGGTGAGCCATAGATAAGGCGAGCCCAGGCCATCTGTGGGCACCAGGTCCGCACGGCACACGAGTGCACCTGGAGAGCGCCTGTCCAGTAGAGGGAGGGGCAGCTTGCCAGGAAGCAGGAAGTCAGATGAGCAGTCCCCCTGGACACAGGGTAGGGGTTTCAAGGCCCTGGATAGTCAGATAGGTGGGGAGGCGAACACAGTCCTGGGCGCTGTGAAGTCCTTCAGGGACTAGGTGCTTTGAACAGAGTCCTTTGAGGAGGTGGAGGCAAGGCAAGGCAGCTGTAGCCATCAGGGTTCTGAGAGCGCGCTGACGCCCTCCATGAGGTGGTGGTGGCAGCATGCAAGTCTCCTCAGCATTGCAGGCAGCAGTCTTCAGATTGAGCCCAAGAGACCTGTGAAATGATTGTATTCTCTCTACTCAGGTTGAAGAGGGCATGTGACATTCGAGGCTAGCCCTTTGTGAGCACTGTGAGGACATCAGGCAATGTTCTGAACTGTTCAGTTTCGGTGGGGGCTTGGTGACCATCAGTTGGGCAGGGGACTCCAGAGAAGGGTCCTTCTAACTGAATCAGGCCTAAGAGAACTGGCCAGGCTGCACAATTCTACAAGGCAGTGGCTACAACACTGAGGGACCCTAGTGGAGGGTGAAAAGGAATCTTATTAATGAACTCTCAACAGACAGGATTTTGTTTTGTTTTGTTTTTTTCAACCAAAAGTCAAGTCTAGTCCTGCTATATTTTGATTCCAAGCCAGTCAATAATAGCAAATCCCTTAAAATGCACCCCAGAGTTCTCTGAACAGCAGCAGTGGGGCAGTTACATGTGTGAGCCACTCACCACTCACACCACACACACACACACACACACACACACACACACACACACACACACACACACACACACAC